TGCAGCTAATGGTATAGGTAGGACAATTTAAAAAGGATCAGATTATATAACAAATATTTTTGATTATAGAGATGGTGAAGATGATGAAAATGATGGTGAAAATGATAATAAAAATGATGGAGAAAATGATGGTAAAAATTATGTAGATAATGAAAAAAATATAAATGATATAAATAAATAAATATAAAACACATAAAAATAATAAGAAATTAAACTTAAAGGTTTTATAAATAAAAAAAAATATATAATAAATAGATATAAAAATAAATATATATACATTAATATTTATATATATATTATATATATATATATATATATATATATAATATTTATATTATTTTAGATATTTAAAAAGACATTCAAAAATAATAAGATACATCTACTCATTAAAAATCTTAAATTTAATAAAAAATTATTGCACCATAAAAATTATCAGAATAATAAACAAATAAAAATATAATATTAGAAAAAAATTCAGATAAAAATAATGAAACTAAAATCAAAAAAAATTCAGATGATCCAATATAAAAGAAAAATGATATATAATAAGAGAAATCTTATAAAATCTAAAACACTAAAAAAAATGAAATTAAATAAGAAAATGCTCATAAAATCTAAAACATGAAAAAAAACAATTAAAAAATTGATAAAATTGATATCTAAAAAAGTCTAAAATTACCAAAATCAACAGAAAATGAAAAATAAAATTTAATAAATAAACCTGATAAATCTCATAATAGTAAAGATTAAAAACGATAAAAAGATTAAAAACTATAAAAGATTAAAAAAGCAACTAAAAAATACCAAAACTCGATAAAAAAACAACCGAAAAAAATAATAACCAGAAACTTTAAAAAAACACTAATCAAAGAATAAACATGAAAATAAAAATTAAGTCATACAAAATAAAAAAGCAGTCGAATAATCATAATAATTGGATTAAAGCATGTTTGATAAGCGAGAAGGAATTTAATTTACAGATACAATAATTTCAACTGGATCCTAAATTAAATAAGGAATTTAAGATGTAGTTGAGTCTATTTCTGAATAATTTACATTAAAAGCAAAAGAAAATAATACTATTATTAATAATTAGAATTTATAATAATTATAAATTAACTAATCTATAGAATAGAATTAAAACTATGTTTTTTTATAAGCTTAAAAATCTAATAGAAAAGGAAATAAGTTATTATAGAAAATATTTTAGTTTAAAAATTAGAATAAAAAATATTAAAATTATAATTGATTAAAATATATGAAAAAAAAATAAAAAAATATTAAAATTAATGCAATATTTTTTTTTTTGTATAAAAAAAAAAAATCCAATATAAAAAATATTAAAAAAATGTTCTATTTTTTTTTTTAAAAAAAAAAGACAAAAAAATTTATAATAAAATTTTATTTTTTAAAAAAATAAAAAAATTATTTTTAATTTTTTCTTAAAACAAAAAAAAAATCAAATAAAAAAAAACAAAATAAAAAAAAAAAAAAAAAACCGCAAAAAAACAAAAAAACAAAACAAAACCAAAAAATGAAGTTTTCCTTAAAAAATTTGCAAAAGCAATACGAGCTTTTAATTTTTGACATTAAAATTTTAATAAAAAAAGTAAAAAAAAATAAAATAAACAAGTATATTACAACAAAAAATAATAATTATAAATAGTAAAAATACAAATAAGCCTACAATAAAATCGAAAAAACGCTAAATACGGACATAAAATATAATTTTTTAAATATTTTCCAAAAATTAACATTAAACTATTCCTTATTTTACACTTTAAATAAAATCCAAAAGTAGAAAATAATCTAAACTAAGCAAAATCCACTTATAATACCCTTAATAGAAAAAATAAATGAAAGAAAAATAATATGTTTTACTACATATCATGACCTATATATATTTTTAACAGAAAACTTAACTTATATATATATAAAACACGAAGACTATATATCTAAAATATTCTATATGACATCTTAATTATTAATTAATAATTTCTTTATTTCCTATATAAAAAACAATATTTATTTAGCTTTAAAATACATTATATAGGCTAAAGACTTTATTTATTAGATCCGAACATTAAAAAATTACATTATTTTAAAATAAGAATTATAGATAAGGACTATTTTATCTAATTTTTATATAAATACATCATTTAAAAGTGAACTTCCTATCTAAAATATATTAGAAAGTGAGAAATCTATTTTTTGGTTTATATATTTTATGCGATTTTAGATAAAAAACAATCCGAAATACGACATTCATAAATTCCAGTATGCCATAAAATATATAATTTAGTTATTTTTATCATTAGCACTTGCATATGAAAATTCGAAAAGGATAGATAATGTATTCTAAACATTACTTTTTGTAATTTTTCTAAAAGAATTTGCAAAAATGGATTAAAATGATTCCTTTTTTTGCTATATAAATTCATTATAATAAGAATTAATTTAAAGATACTAAAAATTTATTTAAATATTTGAAGATGTCGAAAGCATAGCCTTAAATGAGCTTTCCTAGAATAAAAAATGGAATTAAAAATGTGAATAATTTCTTGAAATAAAAAATTCTAGAAAAGTTTAAGAAATAGACTAGTTTTTGTACGAAAAATCTGACTCAAAAATCTTAAATAAAAGTCTATATATTTTAATTAAATCCCCTTAAAAAATAATATAAAATTCTCAAAAAAATCATTCGAATAATTCTTATTTTTTAAAACCAAAAAGATTCAGGGCTTAAACTTAATAAAATAATATAAATAAAAAAATCTAATTTTAAAAAAATTTCAATAAATTTAAATCTTAAATTTTACATAATTTTTAAAATGAATAATAAAGCTTTTAATAAAACAGTCTAAATTTTATCAAACAAAATAAATATATTCATAAAAAAAGCAATTCATAATAAAGCACGTATAGTTATAACAAATTTTCAATTCAAACCGATATTTTCTTATCTAAACTTGAAACTAAATCTAATGTCTATTATATTTAACAAAACCTTTCTACTGAATAACCTTCCTAAAGTTAAATTTCCAAACAAAATATTAAAAGAAGAGCTTTTTCAATTAAATTTAATAAACAAAATTATTTCGAATTATAAATATAAAATTAATCAATGTAAAGAAAATTAACATCTAAATCTTATACTGGGTAAAAAAAAATTATAAATAAAAATATATAAATAAAAATATATATATATATATATATATATATATATATAGTATTTCAAACAATATTAATTAAATTCTTGATTAACATTAAGAAAATCAAAAAGAATTTCTTTTTTTTAAAAAAATGATTAAATTTAAAAAAAAGGAAAATTTGATTTTAAAAAACTAAGATTTCTTATTATAAATGAAATAAAGAAAGAACAAACTTAAAAACAAAATTTTTTAATTTTCTAATGTAAAAATAAAAAATTTATATATAAAATATTAAAAAAGTAATAATTTTCATTATGCAGTTTATAAAATGGACCCAAAAACTATATTTAAAAAGAAAAAAATAAAAAAACTAAAATGAAACTAATAGTATTTTAATACAGAAAAAAGTTTAAAAGAATTAATTTTAAAGAACAAACTTATATTTCCTTTATTTAAATTTAGAAAACATTTAAAAGAAACTTATAAAATTAATTTAGAATGCCATCTTTATAATAAGGAACTAAAATTTAAAAATAGTTAAATGAAAAAAAGCCAATAGATTCTAAAAATTACTATATGGAAAACAAAAAGCAACTTCTTAATAAAATATATGAATATGAAAAAGAAACTTTAAATTAAAAAACAAAAAAACTTTAAAAATAAATAAAGCAGTAATTAAATCCTTTATATTTTTATAATTAAATATTAAAATTATATTATATATAAAAATATAAATATATATATATTTATATTTATAAAATTTATATATTAATTTATTTATATTTTTATAAATATGTATATACATTATTATTAAATAAAAACTTATATAGATTACAAATTACTTAATAGTTTTCTGATTTAGCAAAAAGTACATCTTTAATACATTCTTTCCGATTAAAAAGTTTTCCAAAAATACATTAATTGTTTCTCAATTAAAAAAACTTATAAAAATAATAAATGACTTGATAAATATTTTAAAATATAGATAATATATATATTAATATATATATTTATATATATATATTTATATTTTATTTTAAATTTATATTTTATTTTTTATATATTAATTTGTTTATCTTTTTAAAATTATTATGTAAAAATACTAAAATAAAACATATATTTTCTAAAATTAATTTTCATTTTTTAATTTAATAATTGATATATATATATTTTTATTATATAATTTTAGATATTTTTTTTAACTAATTATTTATATCTTCTTTTTTATTTTTATTTTATAGCTATTTGAATGTTTACAAATAAAAGAAAATATTTTTTTTCTTTTATTCTTTAAATATATTTGAATCATTTATTATTACATTTACACTCAATTTGTTATATAAATAATTTTTAAATTATAATTTTTTTTTTTTTTAGCTTACTTAAGATTAGATTTATTAACAATAATCCATTTTTAAATTTAAAACATATAAATATAATATAAATATTTCAATACATAAAAAATATTAAATATCTAAATTATTATTTCTTTATAATATATTTATATAACATATATATTAATTGATTAGTATAATGTATTTTTAAAATTATAAACAATTATATAAAATTATGTATTATTGTAAAAATTTCATTATAAAATTTATAAAAAATACTTTAAATATGAATAAATAACGAATTTTGTTTTATATAATAAAAATTATAAAAAATTTATAAAATAACAAAAATAATAAAAAAATGTATAAAAGATATCTAAGAAAAACAAGAAAAAAAATAAAAATGATTAAAAAAAAAAAATTAAAAAGAAATAAATAAATATTTATTAAATAAAAATAAAAATGTAAATATTTATATATATATTACATAATAATTTATTAATATAATAATTTAATTTTATTTACTTATTTGTAATATTTTATTTAAAAAACGAAATAATAATAAATTTATTAGAGGATAGCTGATTGCTTTTTTGATTTTTTTTTTTTTATAAAAATATAGAAAAAATATTAAATAAAATAATATAAAATAATATATATATGTATATTTTATATATTAAAATATATATATAAAATATATATATATTATATATATATATATATATTATATATATATATATATATTTATATTTGAATATAATTTTATATATATAATATTCTTTAATTATTTTTAATTAAATTCATATAATATATTTATATTATTTACCTTTTTATTGAGTTTTATTTATTAAAAAAAAAATTATATTCCCTTTTTTAATTTTTTAAAATATAATACTAATTATTATATATATCCTAATTTTTTATTCTTTTTTAATATATATATTATAAAAATTTTATATTAATATTATTTTTTAATTAATAATAAATAAATGTTGATTTTTTTATAAAATCAAATAAACTTAATTTTAAACTAAACAATTTAAATATATTAAATTTAACTTAAAAAAAAATACAGATTATTAATAAAATATTAATTATTTATAATAATTTTAATAATAATAAATTTATATATTATGATATATATAATATTTTTTTTTCTATTTTTATTTCAATCTGTATCATCACTATCATCATCCTCTTCTTCTCCTTCTCCGTTTTCTTCTTAATCATCATTATCATCTTCTTCTTAATCATCATCATCATCTTCTTCCTCTACGCGTTCTTCATCATCTTAATCAACATCTTCATCTTCCTCGTAATCAGATGAATCTTCAGAACCATCATCTTTTTTTTTATTCTTATTTCCCGCACCGCTTTTACCTTTAACACCTCCACCATTTTTTTTATTGGGTGCTTTTTTGTTATCTTATTTTCCCATATTAGCTTTTCCTCCAGTTCCTCTTGCATTATTTTTTTTCTAGACATTAGCTGCAGCAGGATTATTCTAAGAACTTATTTGTTATAATATAGTTTTGTTTAATTATATTGGTTTTACTTCTGTTTTGGAGTTATGGATTTACTTTAGCTTCTACTGTCTGAATTTTTGTCTTTTTTGGATAAATTTTCCTCTTTCTTTATTGCTTTTTTGTTTATTTTATTTATATAAATATAGTCTTTTTTTTTTTAAAAAAAAAAACCTTTTAGATTATGGTAGAAGCTTTATGCTTTTTAATTTTATGCTTTTCCTTTTGCCATTTTTAGTATTTTTTTTTTTTTTTTATTTTTGGAAAATTATTATTTTATTATTGTTTTAGTTTTTTTTTTATATTTTTTTTTTGAAGTGTATTTATATTAGATAGTTTATATATAAAGTTTATTTATTATTTGGTGAATATAAAATATTAGAATGATTTTATTTTTTATAAACTTAATTAATAAAATAGAAAAATATATTATTTTATTAATTTTATTTTGCCCAAATTATAAATATTTTTAAAATATATATTATGACGCCTAAAATAAAGGCTTTTTTATAACAAATTATATAAATTATATTTATTTTTATTTTATACTTAAAATATAAAATATTATGTAAAAAAAAATCTACTAAATAAATGAAAATCAAAAATGATTATAAGAAATATATATTTTAAATTGAAATTAAATTATATTATATTTATTAAAGTAATTATATATAATAAATATTAAGATAAATAATTATATTTAGTAATAAATAATTTTTTTTTATACTTTTTTATATATTATTTAAACCCACGTTTTATATAAATATATAATTTTGAAATAATCATTTAAATAATGTGTAAAAATCTAAAATAAATTAATATAATTTTAGTTTAGTTTAATTAATATAAATAAACTATATACTTCCAATATTTTAATACATAGATATTCTTTTTTTAATAATATTTCATAGACTATCATAAAAAAATAGTATAGATGATATATTTTAATTATTTTTCTTAATTAAATTTAAATATACTATAATAAATTAAAATATATTTTAATTTTTTATTTAATTTAGGATTATTAATTAATAAATGTATATATAAATACTATTTAATTATAAAGAAAAATTAATTTTAAAATAAAATAATAATTTATTCATTTATATATTTATTATAAAAGGTTATTTTATTTAAATACTAAAAAAAATAAAACAATTTTCGATATTTATTTTGATTATATTGATATACACATATATATATATATAATAAGAATCAATTTTTTTTAAAACAAAAAAACAAAATAATTCAAGCCAAAATAAATATTTCTCTAATATATAATGAGTTGTTCAATTCTTCCAGAATTAATAAACTAAGTATATACTATAAAACCAAAAAAACTTGATGAACTTTATCATTTAAATTAAAAGATTATTGGTATATAATCTATAATATATTTATAGTTAATAATATATTTTTTGTTTGTTCAAAGTAATTGATATAAATGATGACAATAAATACAAATAATTTATATTTCCAAAAGCAAAAGAATTAAAACTAGAAAAAAAAAGACAAATTAAAACTAGTTAAACAGCAGCAAGATTTTAGTAATAAATTTTAATTATACACAACTTTTTTGTTCTAAAAAAAAAAAAAATAACAAAAAGTGATAAGAAAATCATATAAAATAGAGTTAAAGGAAAGTAGTCTTTTTAAGATGGATATATTGCTTTTTAAGCTTAATAAATGAATTAAATATTCTCAAATTAAAATATAAATATGAAGTAATATATAATTAAAATATTAGGTTTAAATTTATATATTATTTAAAGATTAATGACAGATCCTATAAGTAGAAATTTATTAGTTTATACACCAAAAATTGAAGGAATAAACAAATTTAAGAGGCAAAACTTATATTCAGATTAAATAAAAGAAATAGATAAAAAAATATTTCTATATAAAAAAAAAATCGAATAGGCTAATAAATTATAAAAAGAAATGGAATTTGATTAAATTTAATGTAATATTAATTAAAATCAATATAATAAATTTGATTTTCTAACTGGTATTGGATTATAGAAAGAATAGAAATAAGAAATTACATAATTTGAAGAAAATATTGAATAGACTGAACAAATTGAAAATGAAAATAATAAAAAATAATAGGAATAACAATAATAATAATAATAAAAAAGTGTAGAAAATAAATAAATTCATTAAAATTGTTAAAATACATAGATTCTTAATGAAAACTGTAAAGAAGATTTCATAAAATTATAAGATAATTATCAAAAATAGATTAGTAATGCTTTTTTAAGAAAAGATTAAATAAAAGGGGTATATATTATAAATAAAAAAAATAAAAATAAAATAAAATAAGAATATAAATATAAATATATATATATATATATATATATATATATATATATATATATATATATATATATATATATATATATATATATATATATGAATTTAATACATAAAAGAGAATTAGATTTAAAACTCCTAAACTTAGTATAACAGGAAAAGGGAATAAAGTTTAAATAATCGGTAGACCTAATGATAAATATGAAGAGTAAATGCGAATATATAATAGAGAATTCGTCCCTTGTAAACCATATGTATTAGTTCCTAGTTTTTTATAAAAAATAGATACAATAACTAATAATGTTTTAGCATATCTTGTATTATATTTTTTTATTATTATTATTTGATTAAACAATGATTTCTTTATTTTTTATTTAAAAATAAAAGAAAGATTATAGGCCTTTACTTTAAGGAAATAAAAATAATATACCTAAAAGTATTTAAGGATTATTAAAAGTAGAATTGGAATATTTAAAATCTATAAATGATAATAATAACATAAAATAAAAAAAAATATATATTGATAAAATTTCTAAAGAAAATGAAATTAAAAATACATAAAAAACAATAAATAATGAACAAAATTTATTAGAATATTAAAAAAGAAAAAAAAAAGGTGTTACAAATATAGATTTTCAATTAAATCATTTATAATGAATTTTTTTTATCAAAAAAAATTTATTCTTATAATTTATTTTTTAATATAAACATAAATACATTATAATTTCAAATAAATAATATATTAAATATATATGTATGTATATATGTATATATATATATATATATATTTATATATTTAAAATAATTTTAATCAATGTCCTATGTAGTTTTTGGTCAAAAATATACATTAAAAGAACTAGAATAATATCTAAAATAAATAATATTATTCACTTATCGTTAAGGGTTTGATAAAATACCAAATAGTAATTACAGATCAGACACAGGTTGGGGATGTATGTTAAGAAGTGGTTAAATGATGTTTGCTTAAGGTTTATAGAAACATTAAACAGGATTTACTTAGGATTAAATAATATAATACTTTCTAGACGATTCTATATATCCTTTTTCTATCTAAAAGATTTGCTTAGATGCTTAAAAGCAATTTGAATTAAATCCAGGTAATTATTTTTCCCCAAACCGTATAATATGTTGTTTATAGAGCCTTTTAAATTCACACAAAATTCCTAATTTAGAATGCGAAATCCTTTTTTAAGATAGGCCTATGGTTTTTAAAAATTGCGTATAATTAATGACTGGAAATCCTCTAAATAATTAATTGAATGAAAATGTACTTTTGAAAGAATAAATAGTTAAAAATTCGCTTCTTTTATTTTTAGTTTGTTAACTGGGCAATAATATTATTAATGATAAGTATTTATAGATTTCGACTTAAATTCTTAATAATCCACTTTCAATAGGAATGATAGGAGGGTAGGGGGTTAAAGGCTTTTATTTTATAGGTTTTGATTAGAAATATAATGATTTTTTATATATTGATCCACATGAAATTAATTAATATGAAGGACTTAATATTAATAAGGAAAGTTATTTCCAAAAATAAATAAAAATATTAGATAAATAAGAGTTAAATGGTTCTGTGGTTTATGGATTTTATTTAAAAGATGGTAAAGATTTAAATCATTTATGGAAATTTTTGAAAGAACTTAGTAAAGATGAAGATTTCTTTATGGTTATTTAGAAAGAAAATGATTAAGATAAGGAATTAAATATAGTAGAAGATGATGATTTTTGTATAATAGACTAAGATGATATAGATAAATGAAATTGGTTTATATTTATATTAATAGTATTAGGTTTATATTTATAACAAAAAAAGATTTTGTTATTTAAAAATTTTAAGCATTATTTCGAAAGAAAATATTTTTTAGAAACTATATGACTTTTTTTTTTTTTTTTTTTTTTTTTTTTTTCAGATTATAAAAGAGTCTATAAATTATTTTTTTTTTTAAATAAATAAATATGAAATTGTATTTTTTTTTTATTATTTTTTTTTAATAAATATTTTTAACAATTTTTTATCGTTTTAATCAATTTATTTTTTATTTTTTTTTTAAAAAAAAAAAAAAAAAAAAAAAAAGCAAAAAATAAATAAATAAAAAAATAAAAAAATATTATTTTTTATATATATATATTTATTTTTTTAATAAAATCAAAAAAGTGAAAAAATAAAACATGAATAAAACTTCAGAAAATATAAAATCTAATATATTGCAAAAAAACTAAAGCTATATTTAAAATTTAAGCAAATAATCATTAAATGAAGATATAGAATATTCAAACAATGTAGAAATTCATAAACTAAAAGGGGATATTTTAATAGACGAGGCAATAAAAGTAATTTAGAAACCTTATCTTTTAAGAACTGAAATAGAAATAGAAATTTTATTAAAGTTAAAATTTCCCTTAAAAAAAATCTTCTAATTTAATTGAATTTTTTTTTTAAATAAAAAAAAAAAAAAAAGATTAACATAAGAAATAGATTTTTTTAAAAAATAATTTGGGGATAAACATCATTATTTCTTAAAGGAATATTCCAAACATTTTTTATATATAAAATATTAAAAAGATTAAGTCGTATTTGAAGAAGGTAATAAGTAAAATATCCTTTCTAAATTTAAAATAAAGGTGATCATGCAGATTTCTTTTATTTAATATTAAGGGGAAAAGTTAAAATAGAGTCAAACATAAAACATACATAATAAAAAATACATGATAAAAAAGTAATAAATATAGAGGTTTGTGAAAAAAGATATATTTGTGAACTATAAACTGGTGATACTTTCGGAGAATTAGCACTAATTGATTCGAAACCGAGAAGTGCTACTGTTACATGTTTATAAGATACAGACTTTATAGTGTTTGAGAAAAAATCGTTTAGTTTAGTTTTAAGTAAAATTTATTTATATACATATTTTTTTTTTTTTAAAAAAAAAAAAAAAAAAAGAAAAATAAGAAACTAATAAATTGAAAAATTTAATAAATTAACTCTAAAATAACTATTTATTTAAAGATTTTTCTTTTAATTTATTGAAATCTGTTTATTTCTTATTCTAAACTGTAGAATGTTATTAAGGAGAAATCATATATAAAGAAGGAGATAAATCAGATACTTTCTATATAATAAAAGAAGGAGATTTTAAAGTAAAAAAACTATATATATAATATATTTTATTATATAGTATTAATTTATTTATATATATATATATATATATATATACTTATTATATTAAAATTAAATAAATTAAGATAACGAAGACATTAGAATATAAATACGATGATTTGAAAGTAAATTCATTAAATAATAATGAAAAGAAATCTAAAATATTAAACTTAGAAATAGGTATATTAAGTTCTAATCAATCTTTCGGGGAAGAAGAATTTTTTTGTGGTGGAATGCGTTAAGTAAGTGTTATATGTATATCTAAATAAGCTAAAATAATGAAAATAATTAAATCCGAATTACTAAAAAAAATCTAACTAAATCCAAACAGTTTAAAACTATTAATATAAAGGGCTACTGAAAAATAATAATATAGAGAAAAAGCAATATATGAATTATAATAAAAATATTAAGGAAGTCGAGATTCTATTTGTAAACCGAATTTTTAAAAGGCCAAAAAAGCTTAAATGAGAAATTCTTTTGACCTTTCTAATATAGAAGGGGCTGCTGATTATTTAAATAAAGAAGAAACTAATAATAATCGAGATTAAATAACAAAATCGCCTTAAAATTCTATAAAAATGTTCTCAAGTTTTAATTCAGGTAATACTCCTCCTTCTCCTGCAAGAAGTAAAAATAACTCTATTTAAAATGGATTTTTTAATTTTGATGAAATGACAAAGAAGAAAATTGTAAAGACTTCTTGTTTTTAATTAAATAATAAAAAAATTAAATAATCAATAGATATTTAGACTGAAAATAAAAATAGTATTGATAAATAATAATAGACTCCAAAATATAATCCTATAATTAAAAATATTTAGGAAAACTATAAAAAATAAACATTGAATAATGAAAATTAAGAAACTAAAGATAGCTTTTATTCAAATAATTAATAAATAAATGAAGAATAATAATATAATTTTACAAGTCTTTTAAAATAATAAATAAATAAAATAGGATAATGTGAAATAGTGAATGATAATAGTTAAAATAATTAATATTATATGCTTAACATATAGAGAAAATATAAACTTCTTGAAAAACAACATATTAATAATATGAATTTAAACTAGAAATACTATATTAATAATATTATTAATTATAATTTTTAGAATAAAACAGTGATCTAAAATTAAAAAAAAAACACTGATAATTTATTAATATAATTAGAAAACAGTTTAGACGAAGAAAATAAATAGAAAAATTTGAATTAATAATTAAAGAAAAAAATTTCAATTTAATAATTTCAATTTTTAAAAAGAAACTAAAAAAGAAATATAAGTAAAAACTTTATATTAAAAATAGATGAAGCGACTATTATAAATAGCTCTAAACATAAACTTACACAATTAAATTCATATAAACTTGATAATGATATAAAATTAAAATAATAACATGCCTATATTACTAATTAAATAGGAAAAGCGGACGAATAAAATATAATATCAAACAATATTACATAAAAAATTAAAAATAATATATAAAAATTTAAAAACACAATACTTTTTTATAGTTCTGAAGAATCCCAAAAGACCAAAAACGAATAAGAAGATGAATAAACGATTAAAAGTGCCAAAAATATTACGTAAAACAATGAAAATATAATTTTAAGTAAATCTAAAACTCTATTAAGTACTAATAGAGTGGTTAAAAAATACAATTTTAGTGATAAAAAAAATCAAATTAGTAATATTTATATAGGCTAATTTGAAAATAAGCATTGTTTTTATTAAAATTTTAATTAAATATTCTCTAATTAAAAGATTAATTAAACTTAAAAAACTAGACCTTCTTCATCTTAGGTTTTTAAACATTAATATAGTCAAAATCCTTGCACAGTATTAAATTAAGATGTATATCATATTTATGATTGTAGAAATTATAACAATGGTATGTGTATTTGTAGTTCAAATCCTACTAATTTTCTTCCTTTAAAATATAGATCTTAATAAATAATAAACAATCTATATAATTAAAATAGAAATAATTATATTTTTAGAAAAAATAATAATTTTTTATGATTTTCTTAAAAAACAAAAAAAAATTAATTAAAATACTATATAGACATAATCAAAAAAAAAATATAAATATATGTTTTTTTTTATATATATATATTATTATCAAATATTATTTTTTTGTTGATATTTAATTTTATCTTTTTTTTTATTAAAAGAGTTACATTTTTTATTTTATATATATTTTATAGTTTTCTGATCTAATTTTTTATATATCAATATAATATTTTATATATTTAATAAATCTTTTATAATTTTATGTTAAAAATATTTAGACTATATTTTTTTTTTGTTATATATAATTAAATTATTTATTAGAAAAAAAAAAAAAAAATATATGTTTTATTAATTTTTTGTTTGTTTGTTAATCAAATTTTTTTTTAATATTTTCTATATTATAAAAAAAATTTAATTCCGAATTATTTATATTTTATTAAAATAAAGATAACTTATATTAA